CAACACATGGGGGAGCTATCAAGTTGGGAAAAGGAACTTAAAGTTTATGATCCAGTGTTCTGGGATCTTAAATTTTAAGGTTTAAAACCTCAGTCAGTCAGTTAAGAAGATGCACGACATATCCATATATTTTCTATTGTTCCCTAAGAGCTTGTAAACACTTTTAAGATTCATCTTTCCAAACATAAAAAGTACTCATATTTTATATTTTATGTGCCAGGCCTTCAGCCAGGCTGAATGACAAAGCTCCATTAAAACTGTCAAAAAGAGTATTGGCCTGAATTTGTATTTTTAAGACATTGGCCTCAATTTTACCAGATAAATCACATTTATGAGGCAGGGCAATAATATAAAAGATAAACAATACAAACATCATAAGAGGGCCTTGACATGCAAAACCACAATGTACCCAATGTGGAATTTTTCTGAATGGCAGGGCCTAGGTTCTTTTCCCCAAGACATCCTTGGCAGTTATTGGTCTTCATTATAATTTACTAACCCTTACCAGAAATACAAGTTCCTATAACTCAGCAATATGCCACATGTTTTGCATTCAGAGAGTTTTGATTCATCCTTCATAATTCCAAGGCACAATGAGAAACATTTGCCTTGAAACCTGGGCCTTTGTTCATACAACAGTCTAAACCACACGCTAGTCAACCAAATTTTGGCTGAATATACTGAGTCTATTTATTCAATTTTTAACCTGCCCTTATTATTTCATAAGTAAAGTATCAAGGCAGCAAACATAGTTAATACTCCTTCCTCCTCCTGTTTTCCCAACAACAATGCTGTGAAGTGGGTTGGGCTGAGCGTGACTGGCCCAAAGTTACCCAGCCAACTTTCATGCCTAAGTCAGGACTAGAATTCATGGTCTCCTGGTTTCTAAGCCATCACTTTAACCACTAGACCAAACTGGCTCTCTAGATTTAACTGTCTGGAGTTAATCCAGCCTATGTTGTTAGCATGAGACAGTGGGTGTCATGAATTAATGCAGTAAAACATGGTTAAGTTATCCATGGGTAAGCATATCATGTGAAGGTAGCACACAATCCTAAACTGTGGTTTAGTTATGATACTGATTAAATCTCAACTACCTGCATAAACATACTAAACCAGGGGTGTCAAACTCGCAACGTATCACGACTTTTCCCCCATTACCAGCAATAGGGTGGGTACAGTTTCGGCATGACGCATCCGGTCCGCAGGCCGGCAGTTTGACATCCCGGTTTACTAAAAACAGTATTTGTGCAATTCACTAAGCCAAGAGCTAAAAAATACTTTACAGGTTAACAGAATGTGAAACCAAGTTGGCAATGTACTAGATGAGCTGTATAGTCTAATAATGCATGCCGGCTGGGGAACTCTGGTAGTTGAAGTTAGATCTTGAAGTTGCCGAGATTGAGAAATTCAGGCAGTGCTCGATTTAGGACCACAATTCAGCCCAACATTTCTGGGTTAGTAAGTGAGACATTTGTTAATTTTGCCCCATTTTACGACCTTTCTTGCCACCATTGTTAAATGAATCACTGCAGTTATTAAGTTAGTAACACGGTTGGTAATTGAATCTGGCTTCCCCGTTGACTTTGCTTGTCAGAAGGTTGCAAAAGGTGACCACGTGACCCCGGGACACTGCAACCCTCATAAATATGAGTCCCTTGCCAAGCTTCTGAATTTGGATCACGTGACCATGGGGATGCTGCAATGGCCGTGTGAAAAAACCATCATAAGTCACTTTTTTCAGTGCCGTTGTAACTCTGAACAGTGCCGTTGTAAGTCGAGGACTACCTGTACTGGTATATTGAATTAATTTAAAGCATTTCTTATATTTCTGAGTTTCAATTTATTGTTTCCTCAGTTTTTATTTAAGATAGTTAGCCAAATGCTACTCTCCCCTCAGGGAAGCTACCATATACCAACCGGTATCCAGCTGTAAAGAAAGCCATGTTCTTTTAAGGTTTAATTCTCCTCCTGCTGTCCCAAAGGGGAGACAACAGAGGCCTGGTCAAAGAAGACCAGCTTCTCAGGAACTGCGTCCTGCTCATTTCCCTGACACCACAGCCTTCATCCAGCTGGCTTCTGGTTAGGGAGAACTGTCATCAATCTTAGTAGAGAACACTGGACCCAAATCAACCCATTAATAACACTGTTAGCTCAGTAACCACAGCTGTAAAGTCAAGCAGCTGGATGGCGGAACAAACATCAGGCTGAGCACATCTATGGAATAAGGAAAATCCTCGTGGATCTATTCCTGCATTCTACTTTCCTTAGCACTTAATGGGGAAGTGGAGAAGGGGGTCAGGAAGTCCTGTGGGGTTGGATGCCCACGGATTCACAGCATAAAGAAAACCCCAAAAGAAACAATCCCTAGCCTGCTTCTCTTGGCTCTTTTCCGACTCATTGTTGAATTGAAGCTGTCCAGATTATGCACATGAGAGGCGCAGTTCTTGGTTGATTCCTCTGGCTTTGCTGCCCTCCCTCTTTAGTATGTTAGTCCATGGAAAAAGCATCCACCAATCAGGGGAGTACAGCAGGATTTGGGGTCGGATTTGGGAGTCTGTCATCTCTAGACTCCTTCTTGTGCCCCTCCTTCAACACTCCAGACCAGAACTGAAAAAGCTTCTTGGATAAGAAACAAAACATTCTCAAGGAAAATAGCAAGCAAGCCCAGTTGCCTTTTGGAAAGGCACCTTTGGTTCCTCAACCTAGGCAACTTTAAGATGTGTGGACTTTTTTTTTTAACTTTTTATTAATTTTCCAATGTTACAATTATATCTTTGAAAAGCAACGTGGTGTCTGAGTTACAATAATTCCATTACATACAAATGTACATACAAAGGTTAGATAAAGGTGATTAAGACAGGGCTTTTCAACCAGTGGTAGGGGTACCACCTGTGGTACATTGGCACCTGGCAGGTGGTACGCGACCATCCTAGAAAAGTGGTAGCGGGGGAGGGGAATGAGCTGAACCGGTGGCAGCACCGCACAAGCCTGAGCAAGAGATGGCTGGAGCTGCAGGGTTGTCAGGGCTCAGCGGAAGCACCAGGATCAGTGCCGCTTTCCAGCTGATCAGCGCTTCTTCGGGGCTGTCAGGGCTCAGCGGAAGTGCCAGGATCAGCGCCAGGCTCCAGCTGGAGCTCGGCGCTGATCCTGGTGCTTCTGCTGAGCCCAGAAGAAGCGCCGATCAGCTGGAATATTGCAACATCTCCAGGGTCTTGTGATTTACATTCAGATGCTTGGCAACTGATTCATATTTATGACGGTCACAGTGTCCCGGGGTCATGTGAAGTGACCAAAACCTGCTGCAACCACCCAGCAGACGGGGGGAATAAAAACCAAACACTTCCCACCCCACCCGCGCTGCCAATCCCCAACAGAAATGCTCACAACAATGAAAACCTCGGACAGGAGGAAGAGCGTCGCTGGGCAGGCAGGCGTCTTGCTCGGCTGTGGCTTGGGGGGCGCTTTTTTCAGTGCCATTGTAACTTCGAACAGTCACTAAGCGAACTGTTGTAAGTGGAGGACTACCTGTTACTTTATCACTTTTTTCCTTTTTTTTTTTTTTGGTCATCAAGTTTTTGACACCTTGCTAGGCGACTGGTGGTACTCAGATGTTGCCATATCCTAAAAGTGGTACAATGGGTGAAAAGGTTGAAAAGCCCTGGATTAAGACATATATATGTTAAGAGTGATGTAACGTAATTAACATGTTTTGATGTAGTGATAAGAATAAAAATTATAAGCTTAAGTATGAGAAAGTGGACATAAGGAAGAATGCTGGAATGGGAGAAATTTTGGTTATTGAATCTATAATATTTGGAAATTATAATGGAAAATAAGAATATTATATTGTATTACTAATCTGTTGATATAGAAGTGAGATAGATAAGATATGTATCCGGAACACTAGATGCTGGGGGGAATTGTGACAAAGGGAATCGGGGTCATTTAAAAATTTGGAAATGATAAATATGAAACGTTTCATTTAAATATCAATGCAAAATTAAAGCTGGGCAAATTCATAAGGTTATTGATGGTCCAAAAGATGGAATGTTAAAATAAATAAGACATATAAAATTATTGATAAATGCAAGAAAGCTATTAAGTAGCTGATGGATAGAATAAGAAGTATACTAATTTAAACAAGAGACCGTATGTATTAAGGGAAAAAAGAGAGGGAATATTGGCTGTAATAGTTGGAGATTTGTATTAAGAATATTTGTATGTAATGGAATTATTGTAACTCAGACACCACGTTGCTTTTCAAAGATATATTAAGATGTGTGGACTTCTTACTGGCTGGGGAATTCTGGGAGTTGAAGCCCACACCTCTTAATCTGCCAAGGTTGAGAAGCACTACTCCAGACTGATAACCTAACCTAAGATTCTTCTATTGTTCGATTCCGTCATTCCACTTTTTCACAGCTTTGTATTAAACTGGTAAGGTCCAAGCACTTACAGTACTGATGGGTTACCAATCTTCTACTGCTAAAACACAGAAGATTCTACTTCACGGCCCCCAATTTCTTAACGGCCAGTAGACAATTCTGTAGATTTGGAACTTACGTAGCCTTATTTTCAAGAAAGACAGCACTGGGGAAACGGCTATTGACCCTTTAAAAATAAACACCAGAGATTCTGTGATAACATATTTCTCATCTTCATGTCCAGATTAGCCTTAAACTCTTGAGATTTAAAAAAATAATTGCTTCCAGATGTGTAAGCATAGGCATCCATGTGCAGCCATCCTGCCTTACTTAAGCGTAATCCAGATGATATCTTTCACCATTTGTTATCCTTCTGTCTTTTCTTCAACACCTTCAATCATTTTTCTTTCCAAAGCAAATGCATACGGCAGAAAAATGCTAAAAAATGCATTTTGGCTGTTTTAGAATCATAGAAGCTTTTGGAGGCCTCCTTCTGTATGAAAATTGGCCCGTTATACCTACGTCACCAACTTTGTGTACATAAGAACTACACAGTTTTCAATAAATGTTTATGAAATATAACTGCTGTCTCTCAACCTCTGCACTGTCCTACCCTCTCCTTCCAAAACTATCCAGAGATCCAACATTACCAGATTGCTTTATAAATCTGAATGGTGCTTAGCCTGCTTCTCCTTTGCTCCCAGATGTGGAACTGTCCTTTGTAAGCCCCTTCCAGTTGGCTTCTTTTGCTTCAGTTCCTCCATGGTGGAGTCCTCTGTGGGCTTCTTTGTCATTGCTGCTTCTGCCTTTTTTTCTTCTAGGATCTCCTCCTGACGGATACTTATACTTTCTTGAGTATAAATAGTAAATTCAGGCAGTGTGGGTTCCATCATACTCAGGAAGTCATAGGCAGGAAGGCGGGGCTTCCACTTTTTCTCAGACAAGGTAGCTAAGAAGAGGAAATGCACACATCAGCAGGTTATCAGATTCCCTAATGCAGCTTTCCCCCATTCGGGCATTCCACAGATATGTGGACTTCAATTCTCACAATTCCCTAGGCAGTTAATATTTCTGTAGTTCAATTTCTAGAGGGAATCTAGATTGTTAAGCTTGACCTCTGATTATAAGATGGGTTAATCTAAACAATATAACAAATTTTGTAGTTCACTACTTCAGAATTCAGTATTTAACAACAGTTGCTTTGAAGAAGTCTGCAAGCCATATATAAAGACTCTGAGACTGCATAGCAGCCACCTACCGATAATAATAGCCATTGTAATGTCCAAATGATGGGATATACACACTGACATCACAATGCAAATCCCACTCTTTGGAACTGTACTGGCATTTCATCAGTTCCTTTCTTGCCCTCCTATAGACCCCTTTGGTGGAGGGTCAACTCAAGGGAGGCTGACCTTGAAGACCATCCAGAAGCTTCAACTGCTCCAAAATGTAGCAATCCAGGCAATGAAGGGCATGCCTCAGTATACTGATGTAAAACCTCTGCTTCACAAGCTGCACTGGTGGCCAGATTGCTTCTGGGTGTGTTTCAAGGTGCTGGTCACTACCAATAAACACTACATGTCATAGGACCTAGTTACTTGAGGGATTACCTGTGGTATGTTCAATCTGACAGGGTTGGTACACTCCAAGTATCATTGATTAAACAATGTCACCTACTGAGATCCTGGGTATGTGCCTTCCCTGTGGCATCACCAGCCTTCAGTTCCCCCTAGAGATTTTAATGGCCTCCACCCTGCTGATATTTCAAAGGATCTTAAATATGTGGCTATCTGTCCACGGCTTTGGACAGAATGACTGATATCCCTTTTCTCCATTCTGTTCCCCTCTGGGTTTATTTTCTTTGCCATTGTTGTTACTTGTGATGTTTTGTGTTTGCTGTACTGTTCTGTTTTTTTAAATGTTGTACCATCGTAAACCACCCAGAGTCATTGGGAATTGGAAGCATATAAATTTAGTAAATTATTATTATAATCCCATCTACAATAATGTTTTTGTCATATGTGTTACAGAAGCATATCATAAGCTGCAAGGACAGAGAGAGTCAAAAGGCAATCATCGGAGATAAAAATAAATGTTTGAAATTTAAACTGGGCCCTTCTGAACATCAGGGGATATGATCCATATCCATAACATGGAGATTGCCATCAAAAAGGCATGCCTCCGAGTTGCTGACAGGATGGATAGCCTATAAATTTAATAAATGAATAATGCCTCTGCCCTCCCCCCATTTCTATAGGCAGATTATGTCCTCCCTCACTGAGAACAACTTGGATTTTTCCATGAAAAGCCATGTTCATATTAACTTAGATCCACAACTAAAGAACAATTACCTGATATTAAAACAAACTCAGAAATATCAGAAATGCCAAATCATGTGTCAAATCACTTGAACAAGAACAAGTTAATTCCCTAGGTGAAAAAAGCAATCTAGGGGTATCATGTGAAGTGGTTGTTAAGCAAGGTTTACCTTCCCGACTTGTACAGCACAGCTGACAAAAAGGCATTCCATTTTTCTTAAAGCAGTCAATTTTCTAATCACTTACAACATTAAAGTGTTCCAGCTTCATTCCACTTTTAAAAACCGAAAACTCCCCAATTGAAAAGAAAGCTGTTCATTTAGGAATGTACAGATTCTTATAGTGAGGATAAAGAAAATAAGAACATCTTAGAAATTGGTTACAAGACCAAAAAAAAAAAAAAAGGAGAATGAGAAAGGAAGGGGGAAGGAAGCAGGAATAAGGGAAAATCCTTAGAGAAGATTTCCCGAGGAGGTATTTGTTTGGCTCTCATTATCCATGGATTCAATTTCTTCCCAGCACTGCTGGGTGTAATGAGAACCAAAGAATTCAACCCACTCCCAGGAAACAATATGCCTTCCTCCTTCTTTGAAGTGTGTTCTTTTTCTTTACAAAGCCCAGAACCTCTTAGAGTGTGATGTCACCTTCACTTGGCGGTTTCTCCCTCTAACTGGATCCTTCACACCATTCTCTGTATCTGTAGCTAACCTTTGTCTAACCCTATCCTGCTCTTATCTGTTACAAATCCTTTTTTCCCACCTGTACAAGCATTTCCGCTAGCAACAGTTTGTGGTTAACTACTTGCTTTCAATTTTGTTGTTCTAAAGTGTTGCAGGCAACTAGCATCCTGTTATGTATCTACAAAATTCTAAAGAAAGGAGAAGCAAAGTGACTGTATTTTTTTCAAAGCCACTTGAAAGCAAAGCATATGACACGGCTTCATTCATTGTACCTATCACTTTGCTTTTAAAGTACTGCCATGTTATTTACTTGGGGCTGCTCTTCAAAAGCATTTGAAAGCTGCATTTGCTGATTTTAGCCTATAAAGTCCTACATGATTTGGCATCATAACTGAGCTTCTCAAGTTCAATTTTATTTAATCTGTCGGAAACAGTGAAAACAAGCTGAATAAGACCAAAGCCTGTTTGATTAATTGTCTCTGACTACTTACCCCTTGGAGCTTCTTGTTTGATCTTTACTTTTTCAATCCAAGCAAGGATATTTGTTTCAGAAATTGACTGGTCTGATGGAAAAACAAAGACATGGCCTCCAGAATGAAGGTTGATCCAGAGGAGGAGAGGCACAGGAGGAACCGAGTTTCCAAAATAAGCTTTCAGAATACTTCTGCCTACAGGTGTGTTCTTACTGGGTTAAAAAGAGTACACACATACACACACACAAATCAATCAATCAATGCTAAAAGAAATGGTACAGATAAGTCATAATTCTTCTGAAGTCAAGCATATCAGAAGAGGTAAGACACTACTAAGAGGTGCCTCCATTATGCTCATTGGCTTGGCTTGCCAATAAACCTAGTCAGAAGATATTTTATCTTTGGTTTTTAACAGTGGTATTTTGGGTGCACAACAGACTTTCCTGGCATCATTCCTGAGGTCTTGTTGGTGATAAATAAATAAACACATTTCTCGTCACTCAAGTCTTTTATATGAACTTATTTAGCCTAGGAGCCTTACAGTTTTAAAACCAATATCTTTATTTTGGCTGTTAATTTTGTTTTGGTGTCCTTTGAAAGTTAACCATATAATGTCATATTTCCAATTTAAATCATTGCAATGTCTGTTTACAGCAGTGTTTCTCAACTTTGGCAATTTTAACATGTAGGGACTTCAAGTCCCAGAATTGAGAACTGGGGAATTATGAGAGTTGAAGGCCACCCATCTTAAAATTGTCAAGCTTGGGAAACACTGATTTAAGATATCTAAAGAACTTTCTTAAACCACAGTGCTAAATCTTAATCTAAAGAATATGTTAAGTACAGGTTGTCCTCAATTAACAACCATTCATTCAGAGACCATTTGCACTTAAGACGGTGCTAAGCAAATGATAGTTATAATGGGTCCTCAGAGTTCAGACTGTGGCAGAACCTCCCTTGTCCCAGAATCAAGTGATCATGATCAAGATGCTTATTCTGACTGTTGCAGCATCCCACAGTCATGTGATTACAATTTGCAACCTTTCCTGCTGACTTTCCACAAGCAAAGTCAATGGGTAAGCCAGCAGGAAATCAGAAGTCATGGTAACGAAGTCCTTTCTTAATGAACAGTGATGATTCACTTAACAATGGTAACCAGAGTCTGTCAAAACCGCAACTGCTAAGCGGCACAGTCATGTAATGCTGCGCTTTATGACTGCATCACTTGGTGACAAAAATTCTGGTCCCAATTACCATCATTAAGGGAGGAGTCCCGGTAACATTTCCTAGTACAAAATTCATATTGCATTATTCACCTCCAATAGGTTTAAACCAATGGGAAAGGCCCACATATAATAATAATAATAATAGTAGTAGTAGTAGTAGTAGTAGTAGTAGTAGTAGTAGTAGTAGTAATAATAATAATAATAATAATAATAATAATAATAATAATAATAATAATAATAATAATAATAATAATAATAATAATAATAATAAAGTTGGACGGGACCTTGGAGGTCATCTAGTCCAACCCTCTGCTCAGGCAGGAAACCCTATACCATTTCAGACAAATGGCTGTCCAGTCTCTTCTTAAAAACTTCTAGTGTTGGAGCATTCACCGCTTCTGGAGGCAGGTTGTTCCACTGGTTAATTGTTCTAACTGTCAGGAAGTTTCTCCTTAGTTCTAGGTTGCTTCTCTCCTTGATTAGTTTCCATCCATTGCTTCTTGCCCTGCCTTCAGGTGCTTTGGAGAATAGCTTGACTCCCTCTTCTATGTGGCAGCCCCTGAGATATTGGAACACTGCTATCATGTCCCCACTCGTCCTTCTCTTTATTAAACTAGACATATCCAATTCCAGCAACTGTTCCTTATATGTTTTAGCCTCCAGTCCCCTAATCATCTTTATTGCCATT